ATTTAGAAAGTGATCAAGTGTAACAAATGTTATATTTGGGATAACAGTTTCTTAGTAAAGTACAGATTCTAGTACCTTTTTGGGTTGAGCCCTGGAATCAACCCACACTGCCAGAGTGAGGCACCTAATCGCAAGCACACAAAGTCAGTGATCTAACACACTCAGCCGCCATGAAAGTCCTATAACTGGTAGTCTAGATCACATACTTTGTGTACCAGTACCTCTCTGACAAGTGTCAACTGGCACGGCTGTCATGACCGAAAGCTATGAACACACAATGCCATTCAGTACCTTGGTATCAAGCCCTCAAAGTTGACCGGGGATGGGTACCAACACTGAAACTGTATCGTCAGTACTCATCTTCCTATCTTTAGATTTTCTGTCATAGTTGGCTTTCATTCTGTCCTACAAGTACTTCAGTAGCCTTCAGAAGACTGGTTCAGAAAGTGGACGCATAGTCCAGTAAGGTCAAGTTGGGCAAGTACATAAGATGCAAGTCAGGTTGCTGAAGGGATTGAAGCATTTGTCTAGCTCTAAATACATGTACAGCCACCCTTTTAGAATTTGTTACCTCACGAAACTTCTCAAATGTTGTAGTAAAGTTTGCCGTCAAGGACCAAAGGGAGGTAACTCTCAACTTGCACTCCCAATGGGGACGCCACTAAAGAATTGTTTTCACCTTGCCACAACAGCTAAAAACATTTTATGAGCATTTCACTTGCTGCAACTAACAATCATCAGAAATGTTAATGCTCTGTTACTCAACCAATATCCTGTGAATAATGAATATACCACTTTGGGGATATTGAAATGTATATTTCAAATACTGCTGTTAAGACCTTGTCTAAACGTGGGGTAGAATGTGTCCCCTGCACCCCATTGCTGGTCTAAGAGGCAACCGAATTGGGCACCCTGTTTGCCGTGGGCTGTGCCCTGTGTCGGCAGAGGAAGGGAGTCTGGTGGTTGATTCTGACAAGACTGCTACGCCATTCGATCTGACTATTGGCCACGTTTCTTGGTTACTGAAGCTCTCGACAAAGAATCAATCAAATTGAAACCATTTGCAATCTCCAAAGGTATCTTTCTTATCTGAAGAGAGGTTACAAATGCTTTGATCTGGTTCTCTCCTTGTAGAGACGCCAGCACCTATTGCCTCAAACTTGCCTCTGCAGACGCCTCTCCTAGCGCCTATACAGATAGCGCCTATCCATCTGACAACGCCTATACAGACGCTCGCACCGCCGCCACAATACACCTCGTCGGATGCCTATACAAACGCTATCTCTTCCATTGGTCGTTGATGTATCATCTACCTCCCATTACTCCTTGTACTCAACTTCACTCAGTATATCCTCATGTCGGAATGACATTCATTCGTCTTGCCTTCGCTCTAGCAGTTACCGTTCAGACTGATGGACTAGACCAGGTAGTAGACTGGTTTGCCAACAGACTTGAGACAGTCGCTCCCCCTCCTGGCCTAAAGGTCAATAGTAAGACCGCCATCCAATCGGACCCTACCTGACCATCCCACCGGACCCTCAGATCAAGGACATGATCTTGGCCCTGGACGAGGACTTTAGCAAGCTCTCTCTGACTCAGTCCTTTAGAGCCCCACGCAATAAACTAAGCGACTATCTGGTTCACTCTCTCCAGGTCGCGGACAAAGCTCACGTATTAGACGAGGATCTGCACCGCATGACCAGGTCCAACCGTCCCATGTTTCAGACAACAAACTCGCTTACACGGAGACAGAGATTGGTCGCACTCTCAAGCCACTCTCACTTATGGTGTCGTCCTCCAGTGCCAGGACCTGTCAAAGCATAATCCACATAGGATAGACCACCTAACCAACGTCATATCCTACCTCCAACAACAAATAGAGCATATGAGCATATCCAATATGTAAGCTGCTCTGATTGAACTTACAACCACACAACGCCTGTGCTACCTTGCTCTATCGGACTGGGACCCAGAATTTTAAGAGAGACCTCCTTCGTCAACCCTGGTCCTCCTCTGACCTATTTAACGGACATGCCTCCAAGACCCACTCCCATGTTTCTTCGCCTGAGACGAGACTAGTCTCAAGACCCTGGCTAGGGTATCACAGCCAGCCTTTTGTAAGGCATCCCAACCTGGCTCCTACCAGCCCCTGGGGCTGGGCTCCACCTCAACCTTTCGGGGCAGAGTCAAAGGCATGTCCTCGGGCTCATACCAGTCCCCCTGCGGCCACTCCAAGGGAGGAATTGGCGACCGCAAGGACTTGAAGTGAATCAAGCTCTCTCTGACTCTGTCATCGACGACTGCCTCCTGAATCATTGGGACACGGTCACTATACTTCACCACAGGGACTTCACCCTCGGGCTCCTGTACCAGTTGGGTTGGAAGTTGAGTTGACACCCTCATATTGCCTTCAGTTCATCGAGGATTTCTTTCAGACACACCTCGACCTCCTCTCTGTACCCAGGGTCCAATGGGAGTGCTTGCAAACACACCTGATTCAAGCCCTCCACCTACCACGCACTCGGCGCCAATGGCAAGTCCTCCTAGGCCTCCTAACCTCAGCGCAGGACTTGACATACAGAGGAAGACTTCAACTGCACTCAGTTCAAATGTTATTGGCTCCCTACATCAGGCGCCAGGACCCCTCGGTGTCCATCGTCCTCCTGGATCACCTCAAACAGCGTCTCCGGTGGTGGGCGGTGGAATCGAATGTCTTAGGCGCAACTCCTTGACAGGGCTTACGACCTCACTGCGCTTATTTGTAGATGCCTCCCAGCAGGGATGGGGTGCACATCTAGAGGGTGAGGTCACCTTGGGGCTGTGGTCCGCCGATCAGTGCCTATCACGAACTGGAGGCACTTATCTTAGCCATCGCTCATTGGAAGCAGGCACTCAGAGACATGCACAGCTCTCCATCTCGACGGACAACATAACCTCATCTGGTGCCTACAGAACCAAGGAACAATTTGCCTCAATTCCTTGCTCTGTCTTTGCCACATTTAGGTTGGGAGACAAGAAGGCAAAATTTCGTCCACCAGCTTGGGACTTGAACATCATTCTCACCTTGCTGAGAGACACACCCTTTGAGCCACTCAATGCGGCATTGTTCTACAATCTGACGAAAAAAACAGTCTTCCTCCACACACAGCAGCCTGTGTCAGTGAGCTACATGCCTTGGACGTCACTGTGAGCATGGAGGGCACGGAGCCGTGCATCTGACAGTGCTGGGACTTCATTGCCAAGAACCAGCTCCATGGACAGCCCAATAGATGATTCCTTATCCCTCCTTTATTTTCGGTTGTGGGCGCAGAAGATAAATAAGAGATCCGTCTGTGCCCGGTAAGAGCACTCTGTTGCTAGATCCGTTGAACCAAGCAACGCCATAGACAATGACGACGCCTCTTTATACTGGTATCTGCAACCTCGCGAATGGAAGTCGGCTACAACACAATCGCCAATGATTCTCCAGGCCTACAAGGCCAAGGAATTCCAACAACCTGCTTGAGATCCGGGCAGTCACCTCCACCATGGCACCACACAGCAACTGCTCTCTACTTGCCATCATGGTGGGGTGTTTCTGGCGATCACAGTCTTTACCAGTCACCACCTGCGTGACGTCGCATTGGAGGATGTGCAAGGCACGCACAGTTTAGGTCTGTTAGTAGTGGCCCAACACTTAAGTGCCCTGGAGTAGAAGGTTCATGCTCATCCTGCATACGGCTCGGTACACCAGCCTACAACATTAACTTGAGTAAGGTTATCCTCTATGGCTGTGTAATACCTTGACACACCACATACCTGATTCTTAGTTCTCATTGATGCCGACCATACAGCCGAGGACTGGCAGAGGGAAACAGATTTTCCCATATATGGATTGGTCACTTGATGCTGACCACACAGCCGAGGATTGGAGGGAACAGAGTTCTGAGATGAAAGTCCACATCTGAAGGTATTCCCACCACCGATTCTGTCGGATAAAGATGCATTAAGGAGTAATGGAGGATAAGTAAAAACTCTAGTAAAATCCTAGATATTTTTAATATTTGTATACTTTTCCTGCATTACTGCATCTAAAAAGACCCACCTATCGCAGAGCCGTCTCCCGATGTTCTGGACTCCAGAGTAATGTGAGGATCCGTGACGTCACTTGGGACGTCATTTGGTCACATGGGAGCTGTGTGACAGGGTTGGCCTCTCAGCTTGTTGGAACAAAGATCTTCACACAGCTCTTTTCTCTGTCAAGAACAAGCAGTGATATCCATTAAGGATAAGTATACAAATTTCAAATACAAATATCTAGGATTTTACTAGTTTTCCTTTTCAGCTGAAACATTTTTGCAATGGAGCGTGGTCCATAATTTTGGGGTGTTAATGGGGAAGCCATCAGACTTTAACAAGTTTGTGGTTACTAAAATTTGGGAATCCGTGGAAGATTCTCACCCATGTATATGATCTCTTAGAATGTGTCCCCCTAAGTATTAATAATGACCCCATGTATTTATGCTGAAGGGGTCCCTGTCCCCACTTGTTCAAGTTTCTTGGCAGAATTTGACATATACCTTCAATTTGAAATTTTCTCACCTGTTCAACTCATGGCTGAGATTGAAAGTCAAGGTCATTAAAGCAGAGGTATCATTTAGTTTTTAAGGTACCAAGAGGAATTGAAATATTGTATTCAAGATGTACTCCATTGGGCATGTATTCCCAGTCTCAAAGTGATGTTTTAGACTAGCAAGTGGCAGTGGACTAAGTTGTACAGCATTAGACAACATTTTGGTATCAAATATGAATATGGATAGATATTGTTGAGGTCAGGTGTCACCTAATTTGGTAGACTGAAAATGGTTCATGACTCATGTTTGTGGGGATAATGTTCCGGGGCACCTTCAGGAAAAGGTGGTCGGGGCTGCTTTTGTTTTGGCATGAATGCAAACACCTTTCTCATCTAGTCTGAACATGTGATAACATGTCAATCCTGATCAACTGTTATTACCTACTAGGCCAAATACAAGAAGAGTAAACACAAGAAGGAGAAGAAGAAGAGGAAGAAGAAGAAAACAGAGAGGAAAGTGAGCTCCACTGAGGATTCTGACACCTCAGGCTCCAAGAGTGATACAGTTGGGTCCTCAGACCACCAACTCCTGGAGAGGTAGGCAGTGTATTGTGTGGTGGATGTGTAACCTCCCCATAGTCCTCATGACAGGTACAAACATCCAACATAACATCTCAAATCATATTTGGTTAAGAGTACAGCTAACACAAGTTGATGTGAATGTCAGGGTTGTCCTATCCACATTTTCTCAGTGCACTCATGAGTGATGGTTTGCCATTAATTGCCAAATGTGAAAGTAGATCTAACTGAAGTTGTTCGGGGCATCAAAAGACCTAAATATTTGTATCCAGATACTACCTGTACTAAGTAGCCCACAGTTTGATGTTCGAGCATTTCACTTGAGACAATCATCTCTAATTATTCTGATTACTGTTGTTTGTTCCAGACTGAAGTCTCTCGAAGGAAGTAGACTAAAAGCAGCAGACTTCATGTAACCCAGCGCTTACTGGCTTGCATGGCATGTGGAACCCATTGAATAAATTAATGATGTTTTTATGCTTGCTCTTAACATTTTTATTCTGTTATGAATTGGTTTGAGTAAGATCTCTTTTGACTTAGCAAACCCTCTCCATAACAGTATCAAATTACAGGTTTATAATAAATAAGATGGCAATAAATAACTTGAGTAGAGCAAGAACAAGAGAAATGACAGTTGTCAAGAATAAGCTACTTTATGGTGCAAGTCAATTGTCACTTCTAGGATTTTAAACATAAGTGTTTGAATGAGTGATATATTTGAAACATTCACATTGATTGTGACTGGGATCACTGTTGTTTGTGTGCAAACAACTAATTGCTAAACATAGTGCCACACCACTAGCTCACCTGGATATGAAATCAACATTTAAAAGAACATAAACAGCCACTGAATGAAGATACTGTCAGCATTGATATAAAGAACATTTCTGCATTAATAAAAACTTAACACTAATATATAAGATTAACAAAAGATGATGTAATCATGAACATATTTAGGACAGCATAAGTTTCGGAGGCAAATATGCATTTGGAGAGAATTTCAGAGCATGTTCAATTTAAAATATTTGGAAAAAAACAAACATTTATGTTGGGCCCCATTTTTATCATGTCTAACTCCACATGTACCACATTTTATAAAAGTAGCCATAAATAGCTCTTTAAATACAGGGCTTGGGAGACATTGGGGTGTCGTCAAGCTTGAAGTTACAGCTTAATTGGGTCAAGTAGTTGCTGAGGAGATGATGTTAATAGTGAGAATAAAAGTATTTAAAGGCATCATAAGGAGGATGTCAAAGTGCAAAGGTCAAAATAAAGGTCATAATTTAAAATATGACTAAAAGTGGGGAACATGTTGAGCCTCACTGTGGTGGTCAGAGTACTGGCTATGAGAAGGTTTAGCTCATGGTATGGTTCAAGTGCAATGGTCAAATCAAGGTAAATATTAATAACATCTTAATCACACTTTTATTTTAACTATTTAATGCAATAAGAAAAAAAGTTGCAAAATTTACAATAGATGTTATGTTTCTCATCCTAATGAGCAGACTCAAGATGCTGTATTAGATCTCATTCTTTTACGTATTGTAGCAGTTCACTTCTGGGGTCATGTGTCATGGTGTTCAAGATGCGGAATAGTTAAGGATTATATTTTAAAAATTGAAGTAATATGATGATGCAGGCGGTGCATGAGAACGAAGTCTATTAATTTTTTAGCCTTACTTTACCTTTAGCCTTAGGTGTGTATTCACTACGTTCCTCGATCACACATGTAATCTGTGTTGTGATTTAGTAGTGTCTAAGTTTAGTCAGCAAATGAAATATGGCTGTTATTAGCTTGTGAGCCATACTGCTTGCATAAACTTAGTGTGAAACCTATTATTGTCTGATATTGAAGTAATGTAAAAATAGGATGTCTGCAAGGCACATGCTCCAAAAGAACTATTGAAATTTCTGCAGTGTAATTACTGGTTTCCCTCTCAGTGGAACCAGGTCCTGTCTTGATTTGTGAAACTACATTGAAAATCAGCAGTGTGTGTTCACAAAGATTTCAATTGTCCCAGAAAATGATCCAAAAAGAATTATGCTTCAGACTAATGAAAAAATTCAAATTCTCTGCTGCAAAAAAAATATTTAGGCACATAGTTTTAATTAATAATGTATCTGGTTTTGCAGCTGTAGCTGAAAACATAACCAGTCTCCATACAAAATCCAAGCCCCCTCCCTCAATATCAAATAGTTGGTCCCTTAGTTGTCTAATTCAAACAGAAACAAAATTGTAAATATGATTGTTTTATTACATATACACTTAGTACACATGTTACAAATATCAACATTTTCATGATTCAAATTAAGGACAAATTATCTCTTTTATGCTTTAATTTCAAAACAAACTAGACGTTAGCATCCTACATATACGAAATCATCTGTGAAAGTTTGATACACAATATAAGTAACAATGGAATGCTTTTGAAATGCCTGTGCATCAGTTTGTAATGATTTTGATGTTGACTCCTAATGAGAATGAAAGTCATGAATCAGAAGAGACACTAAAATGGTTTGGTGTAATCAAAGCCTCCCATCCTTGGACGGACTGGTGAACATTAATTCCATGGGCTAGGCAAGTTTCCACACACCACATGACACATCTACGAAAGGCCTCCTACAACACATGTCTCCATTACAAGGAGACTGTCACAGCCATTGTATTGAAAGAAGTGACTTCATTGCGATGACATCCTCCATGACTTCATCACACACGACCATCCTCAACTCCAGCTTGGGTCATCAGGTCAGCAATATTCTTCTCAAGGTCATCGATGCGGTTTCCCATATCATCAAGTGAGAGAGTTAAAGAAATCCAATAGGAATGAATAAATAATATCCTACCGATACTGGACAAAACACAAGTGATATACCTTTAATTTACAGTCAAAATTGGATGTGTCAAATTTTCCGTTTATCTCAAACTTATACAAAATTCCCCTGACGACTCAATCAGTTCAAAAGAGAAATAATGTCCACACACGCCAACTCTCACCAAACTTTTAACTTTCTTCACTCTTTAGTTGTCTGATCTAATTGCAATTTCCACAATTACATCAAAGGCAGGATGCTTTCTAATAACAGGCCAATATCCAATCAATTCAATATACTTTGTTGGATGTCTCAAACCCAAATGTTCTTCCAGATCACAGCGAGCTTGACTTTTGATTGTTTATAACGGTGGACTCAAAATAATAACACTCATCACATGTTAATCCCCTTCAAAAAGTACCAAAATGTTGTAAACCTTTGGTTTTTTGGTTGGATCAAGGTGATGGGAAGACTGACTAAACTATATGCATTGATACAGAATGAAACACAAGATGTGTTGCATCATTTATATCATGTCACACCAGTGTATAGTTTCAGCCACAATTTGTTCTACAACACTGCATTAATGACATGATATGCTGATGAACCTCCCAAAGCGGAGACAAGGGATGTTTGCTTAAACAATTGATAACTGAAAGGATATTTCTTGTGATGATCTGATCTGACATGACCTGGAACTTGTCCTGCATCTGTTGGAGTAGGTTCTGCACCTGGAATACACAAGTCATATTGACTAACAAGTTTTGTAATGTCACCTTATCACAACTCTCTCACATGTTACCAAATATGAGAGCACTGTGGTTCAGGCGATATTATTATTAACTGTATGCTGCTACTATATGTCTTCATCCTTCCATGCTATCATATCACTACCATAAATGTGCAAAAATGAAATGGTGTCTGAACTGATTTGAGGGATATGACAGGGATACATAATCCAATTGGCCTACAATACACCTTAGACTAGCAGGCTTGTAATCATGTTAAACCCTGTGTACAGTAACCATAGCCAGCTTTAATTATGTGGCCCAGTAGTCCAAGACCCACGATTCGCTGTGCAGGGTTGCAGTCCTTGGCGCGCCAGAAACCTATGATTGTCAAAGTTAAGGCACAGTAGGAATTGGCAATTGGAAAATGAAGACTTATAAAGATATATGTTAACCCTTCAATCTTTACCTTAAATTAATCACATTTACATTTTACTCCTTCCAAGCCACAAATGAAACCTGTACTCTCCAAACCTTAGTTCCTGAATTGCAAATTTGATTGAGAATGCCATTCAGATGTGAAAGTAAGTGCGTCAGATGTTACAGTATTTATCCATACAAAAATTTCACATTCAGAAATATAATATACATGAATACATCTATATTCATAACTACCAACGGAAACAAGTTCACTACAGTCCTTGAAGCCTTGAAGATACAATCATAAACTGACTATGTAATACGGTAGACTTTGTATGCTTCAGCCCATGTACAATATTGATGGAACTTGCAATAGCAATTACAACATCAGACAATCCATAATCTAGCTTGGATACAGACAATGGAAGTGAACAACACCAGTTTGTGTCCTATCTTTGCTTGCCTGGTTACCACCAGCCCCTGGATAGCAAACACCTTAAAGTTGTTTCTACTTCGGATCAATAAAAGTAACTCCCATTGCAAGCACTCTGAGGAAGTTAAAACAACAGTCTTGCCTTGTCCCCTAAAGCACATACATGCATAATGGTTTTCTTCCTACATCTACTGACAATGTGCCAAAATAAACCATAATGACTAGGCCTAGATCTAGGCCTATTGCAGAATCCAAAATTTAACAATCTTGACAACTTTAAATCATGATTAACAGTGAGTTATCTGAACATGCTGAAAGTTATGAAGAATCGTAGTTGACGAATGGGGACGGACATGTCTGGCAGATCTGTACTGCTGACATCATGGACATAAATGTCAACTGCTGTAGGAGATCGTGACCCATCGGCTCTAGTAGGTTTTATAAGAACACAATTAAAAATGTCAACACGTTAGGCCAAAATCTAGTAGATCTAGTATTCAGTAGGCCTTTTGGACGATTCTGAAGTGGCACATTTATCAATAGGCCCAGCGCAAGTAACAATTACGCCCGAATAAACATGGTAGTTATTGCAAGAGTGTCTAACAAAGCTGCCAGTGACGAACTGTATCATGCAAGACGATATTAAGTTACCTGTCAAATCACCAAACAAGTTGACACATGACGAGAATTCAGCCTAGAAGTAAGACGAGGAAACCAGGAAACCGATGCGCCCAACATTTGTCTGCTGCGTGCAGATGACTACTGTGCACGTAGTTAGGTTTCAGTGCACACCACTATTTATATACCTTGTTGGATATCGGTTTGAAATTACTTACAAATGTGGTCAAATCCTGAATGTTCTTGGGATCAGAACCGTTTGCAGCGTAGTCTTTCCCTAGGTCCGCCATTCTGTAAACTCGCACTGACTGACTGACTGGCGAACCACGCATGCGCTCTGTATTATAGGAACTGCGATCTAGCAAATATACACAGCAGTTGTTTCCCCTTTTCAATGTTTTCGCAGTACAATAGACGTGTACTGGCGCTATTCAGGCAAGGAACAATGCCTGTTCTGACTTGACACAACAGCTTCATCCCCGTTGCTTAGTAAACATGATTGGATTAGCACTGGGAAATTACCCACCTGATTAGATACGCATGAATCAAATGCAGGCCTGCACTGTAGCCATTGATACGTGAAACTGCTAATTTGCCCATTATTCAACTTAAGAAACAGGTTGTGGGAATAATAGCAATTAATTTGTAATCCTACATTAGTAGTCACACTCGTCAATGTAATTCTGGTTACCATAGTGATGTATGTAAACTTGTATTTGTACTATCATAGTTAACAGAAAATATAAGGAACGACAAAAGAACGTTCGCCAATAGACAAATGTTTGTTATTCTATACCAACATGGCAAATCTTCTGGCTTCTATAAAAGTAGATCTAATTGTTTTGACATTATAATGCAATGAAACACAGTTATTTGTTTATTTTAAATCACCCCTTGACTTGAGCTTTTAAAAATCTTTAAGAATCTTCTGCCCAGAAACACAAGGTCCAGAGGGTGTTTGAATTCAAACATATCTTTGACAATCAATAGGATTGGCAAAAGGCTCCAGGAACTTGCTCGATCATTTCCTTTTCAAAATCACAGAGTGATTCATATATCTACACGTGCTATCAACAGTGTCATTTACAACAAACATAATTGGAGACAAAATCATGATTTTGTTTAAGTTTCAAGTTGACAGAATTTTATTATGTACATCATTTAAAAAAGAAGGCATTGACGGTCAGAATTACGTCACAATATATAAATTATATTGTGATCAAATTTTGTTCCAAATTTGGAAAACGTAATGTTGTGTAATAGTGATCTACGAGATCTTACGTAATTGCGACATACGAGGAAATAATGTGAAGAAAACACGATTTAAAATGACTACATACATTCCTCATTCTTGCTGTAAAAGGCGACTATGCTTTTCGTAAGAGGCAACTAACGAGATCTGGTGATCAGGCTCGCTGACTCGGTTGATGGATGTCATCTTATCCAAATTGCGTGGATCGATGCTCATGATGTTAATCACTGCATAGTGTCTAGTCCAGACTCGATTATTTACAGACCGCCGTCATATAGCTGGAATATTGCTGAGTGCGGCGTTAAACAACAAACCAAACCAAAACATACATTCTTCAGTGTTTTATGTAAATACGTAGAATCTTGCCTATGCGGTAAAACCAAGGAACAGTGTTTTGTGAGTGGCGTATTTTAGGTTTAACACCACCACTCGGTGGTACAAGAACATGTGTACAATAATGGAGAAAGGTATAATTGTGGTTCATATAAAGTGCAACAAAGATAAATATATTCTGAAATAAAGTAATGCATAGTTTCAACACATATTCATGTAGACATTAATGCCGTGATTCACAATTTGCTCATGCACATTCATGCACGGCCTACACTTTGGATGATTTTGTGTTTTGTTAAAACGTAAATATATCGTTTACGAACCACAACACTACCGTAACTGTCATATATGAACATGCACAGCCTTATTGCTGCAACACTACCGTAACTGTCACACTTGAACATACACAGCCTTAGTGCTACAACACTATCCTTACTGTCACACTTGAACATACACAGCCTTATTGCTACAACACTACCGTAACTGTCATTATTGAACATGCACAGACTTAGTGCTGCAACACTACTGTAACTGTCACACTTGAACATACACAGACTTAGTGCTACAACACTATCCTTACTGTCACACTTGAACATGCACAGCCTTATTGCTGCAACACTACCGTAACTGTCACACTTGAACATACACAGACTTAGTGCTACAACACTACCGTAACTGTCACACTTGAACATACACAGCCTTAGTGCTACAACACTATCCTTACTGTCACACTTGAACATGCACAGCCTTAGTGCTACAACACTACCGTAACTGTCACGCTTGAACATGCACAGCCTTAGTGCTACAACACTACCGTAACTGTCACACTTGAACATGCACAGCCTTAGTGCTACAACACTACCGTAACTGTCACACTTGAACATACACAGCCTTAGTGCTACAACACTACCGTAACTGTCATTATTGAACATACACATCCTTAGTGCTACAACACTACCGTAACTGTCACACTTGAACATGCACAGACTTAGTGCTACAACATTACCGTAACTGTCACACTTGAACATACACAGCCTTAGTGCTACAACACTACCGTAACTGTCACACTTGAACATACACAGCCTTAGTGCTACAACACTACTGTAACTGTCACACTTGAACATACACAGCCTTGGTGCTGCAACACTACTGTAACTGTCACACTTGATAATGCACAGCCTTAGTGCTACAACACTACCGTAACTGTCACACTTGAACATGCACAGCCTTAGTGCTACAACACTATCCTTACTGTCACACTTGAACATACACAGCCTTAGTGCTACAACACTACCGTAACTGTCACACTTGAACACGCACAGCCTTAGTGCTACAACACTACCGTAACTGTCACACTTGAACATACACAGCCTTAGTGCTACACCACTACCGTTACTGTCACACTTGAACATACACAGCCTTAGTGCTACAACACTACCGTAACTGTCACACTTGAACATACACAGCCTTAGTGCTACAACACTACTGTAACTGTCACACTTGAACATACACAGACTTAGTGCTACACCACTACCGTAACTGTCATTATTGAACATACACATCCTTAGTGCTACAACACTACCGTAACTGTCACACTTGAACATGCACAGCCTTAGTGCTACAACACTATCCTTACTGTCACACTTGAACATACACAGACTTAGTGCTACACCACTACCGTAACTGTCATTATTGAACATACACAGCCTTAGTGCTACAACACTACCGTAACTGTCACACTTGAACATGCACAGCCTTAGTGCTACAACACTATCCTTACTGTCACACTTGAACATACACAGCCTTAGTGCTACAACACTACCGTAACTGTCACACTTGAACACGCACAGCCTTAGTGCTACAACACTATCCTTACTGTCACACTTGAACATACACAGCCTTAGTGCTACAACACTACCGTAACTGTCACACTTGAACATACACAGCCTTAGTGCTACAACACTACCGTAACTGTCACACTTGAACATACACAGCCTTAGTGCTACAACACTTCTGTAACTGTCACACTTGAACATACACAGCCTTAGTGCTGCAACACTACTGTAACTGTCACACTTGATAATGCACAGCCTTAGTGCTACAACACTACCGTAACTGTCACACTTGAACATGCACAGCCTTAGTGCTACAACACTATCCTTACTGTCACACTTGAACATACACAGCCTTAGTGCTACAACACTACCGTAACTGTCACACTTGAACACGCACAGCCTTAGTGCTACAACACTACCGTAACTGTCACACTTGAACATACACCGCCTTAGTGCTACACCACTACCGTTACTGTCACACTTGAACATACACAGCCTTAGTGCTACAACACTACCGTAACTGTCACACTTGAACATACACAGCCTTAGTGCTACAACACTACTGTAACTGTCACACTTGAACATACACAGACTTAGTGCTACACCACTACCGTAACTGTCATTATTGAACATACACATCCTTAGTGCTACAACACTACCGTAACTGTCACACTTGAACATACACAGCCTTGTGCTACAACACTACTGTAACTGTCACACTTGAACATACACAGCCTTGGTGCTGCAACACTACTGTAACTGTCACACTTGATAATGCACAGCCTTAGTGCTACAACACTACCGTAACTGTCACACTTGAACATGCACAGCCTTAGTGCTACAACACTATCCTTACTGTCACACTTGAACATACACATCCTTAGTGCTACAACACTACCGTAACTGTCACACTTGAACACGCACAGCCTTAGTGCTACAACACTACCGTAACTGTCACACTTGAACATACACAGCCTTAGTGCTACACCACTACCGTTACTGTCATTATTGAACATACACAGCCTTAGTGCTACAACACTACCGTAACTGTCACACTTGAACATGCACAGCCTTAGTGCTACAACACTACCGTAACTGTCACGCTTGAACATGCACAGCCTTAGTGCTACAACACTACCGTAACTGTCACACTTGAACATGCACAGCCTTAGTGCTACAACACTACCGTAACTGTCACACTTGAACATACACAGCCTTAGTGCTACAACACTACCGTAACTGTCATTATTGAACATACACATCCTTAGTGCTACAACACTACCGTAACTGTCACACTTGAACATGCACAGACTTAGTGCTACAACATTACCGTAACTGTCACACTTGAACATACACAGCCTTAGTGCTACAACACTACCGTAACTGTCACACTTGAACATACACAGCCTTAGTGCTACAACACTACTGTAACTGTCACACTTGAACATACACAGCCTTGGTGCTGCAACACTACTGTAACTGTCACACTTGATAATGCACAGCCTTAGTGCTACAACACTACCGTAACTGTCACACATGAACATGCACAGCCTTAGTGCTACAACACTACCGTAACTGTCACACTTGAACATACACAGCCTTAGTGCTACAACACTACCGTAACTGTCACACTTGAACACGCACAGCCTTAGTGCTACAACACTACCGTAACTGTCACACTTGAACATACACAGCCTTAGTGCTACACCACTACCGTTACTGTCACACTTGAACATACACAGCCTTAGTGCTACAACACTACCGTAACTGTCACACTTGAACATACACAGCCTTAGTGCTACAACACTACTGTAACTGTCACACTTGAACATACACAGACTTAGTGCTACACCACTACCGTAACTGTCATTATTGAACATACACATCCTTAGTGCTACAACACTACCGTAACTGTCACACTTGAACATGCACAGCCTTAGTGCTACAACA